AAATAATTATTTTTTAGAGTTAAAAGATTCTAGATCATCTTATTGGTATGTTATTTCACTGTCTCCATTTGAGTTTACAAATATGAAGGCACCAGAAAATGTTCCTTTCACTGTCTATTCTCTTTCACATCTATTAATGAAAATAGAAGCAAGCTGGACTTGCTGCATAAACAATGCATTGATGAAGCACACCCAGGCCAAAGATTACTGCATACAGACCTGCAAAAGAACTGCAGAGATGGACTAAGAAAAATAGAGGGTGAACTTAGGCAGCCCCTGGCTTGTAGATTCATGCAAATAATCTTAAAGGAACCTGCCACCCAGCAGCCACCATATTCATGATTTGTGCAAGAGTTTAGATTAAAAAACACCCATTATTGACCATATTAAATTAATGTCACTCATTTGGATGTAATGGTTTTGCTGTTTTGTTTGTATTTAATTTGTAAAGATGTTTGGTTTTATAGTTGTATAATGGCTGTAAGCAAAATGAGTTTAGTCCTATTTTATTTTTATATATTTAAGTAACATTTTAATCAAAACAATTGGATTGTATATGGCAGTATCAAAAGACTGTCTTTTCTTTTAAAAGAGTCTCTACAATACTCAAGTCTAAAAAACAGCTTTCTATAGTTTTCTCTCTGACAGAAATAGAAAATAGAGGTGATGCCATTATTTTTTCGTCAAATTTATATTAAATTCCCAGTTGGTGAAGAAGTACTTCACAGGTGTGCTAAGTCCCACTTTTTGGATTAGAAATATCACCATTTAATGGGCATCTTACTCTGCATAATAAACAAACAAACAAACAAACAAACAAACCCAAATGTACATTTCTCTGATCCGTCTTTAAAAAAATGTCTCTCCCTTGAGTTGGAAATGTCTTAGAGACCCTCTAGGATATGACGGCAGAAAAGAGAGGCAGGGTGGTTAGAGGAGGAAAGAGTATCGGGGGGATGCGTAGTGATGGAATAAAATGTGTGTTTTTAAAAAAATAGAAGAAATGCTCTAGTCCACATTCCCTTTGGGGGGAGGGGAACAGGGACAAATGCATAGAACTGTGCAACCCTCAGCAAGCAGCCTTCTGAATGCAGCAATGTCTATTATGCAATTTTGAGCTATTCACTGCTTTTGTGACTCATTCCCATGACTTTCCCATGACTTAAGTCTTCTCTGGAATGTTTTGCTGGGTTTTTTATGGAAATTAGTCAGAAGGCTGAGTTTCAAGGTGAGGTCAGCATTCATGCAAGTAGAAATGAAGGCAGGGATGCTGGAGCCCAGTAGGAGACAGGGTTCTGAGCAGATAAGCCCTTTTGAAAATTTGCACAAACCTTCAGGCACCAGGGTGTAAACTGGGGTTTAAAGCAATAGTTTCTTGCCATCAGGAGCCAGAAAAAGGCCTCCTAACTACCAATTCTCATGTCAGACAGGACTTCGGAGCTTTGGGAACAACTACATCCACTATTATTTAGACTTTCAAACCAGATGTGGACAGTGCTAAAGTGATTAATACTTTCATCAATGACCAATTACACAATAACTAATTTTCTTATAGTTTTTCCAAAAGTTACTAATTGGCAATGCCAGAGTTTCTCCTGTTCTTTCTCCCAAGAAAACAACTTTCAATGGACATTCATGACCTTCAGATGCTATCTGACTATCTACAAACAGCAAAAGCCCAGTAAGAAGTTTTTTAAGAAAATGTCACTGTCACTAATAACAACCTTAGTCTTTGAACCTTGACACATCTATATTATTTGATAAGTACTGTGAACCTTTTAGGTGATCACAGGAAAGAAGTGTAAATAAACCATAAGCCTCCTATATTAACCTACATTAATCACTCATTACAGCCAACATCAGATTTTCACAAAACAAAGAGAACTTAAAACAAAACGAACCAAAAAAAGGAAACAACAGAACACATATCTGACCAGAGTTTTACCTTAAGATCTACTTTGCCTTTGCTATTCTTTAATATGTTTCCTTTTGGGTTTGCCTGAGGGTTACCTGTTATCTTTACAAACCTCTATTAAATATAGCTGGCAGAGGATTTAAAATGGTGGCAGAGTAAGTGGATACTGCACAAACATGCTTCCAGGAACAAACTGGAATTACAACTAAAATACAGAAAAATTTCCTGAATAGTCAGTGGAAAACTCACAGGCAACAGCCCCGATACCAAGGACCAAAAGTGGAGATTGCATAGGAAGAGCGTAGGCACTAAATGGGTGGCCAGGCACTCACAGATGCCAACTAAAGCCCTGGAGAAATATCTCAACTCTGGGGGTTGCACTGAGAACACTGGGGTCTAAGCTGAGCCTCCAGCAGAGAGGACGAAAACTAAGAAGGGTACCCACATAACTTCTAGCTGTGAAAAGCAGCAAGATGCTATCTGCCAGGGAGTGACAGCTGAAATTAAGGCACCCTCTTAAAGGGCCAATGGAAAAAAAAAATTCCCAGTGGAGCCAGCAGAAAGAGGGGAAAGTAAACTGGAGTTGTGAGAGCAAAAGTGAGGACTGGAAAATCAGGGAATAGAGCTCAAAAGGCAGACATCCTAAGTTTCCTTGGCTGAGTCATTGCATAAGATACCTTTCCCACACAGACATTTACATTGCCTGAGGGAAAGACAGTTGACATCCCCATTAAAAAACATCTTGCAATGGGTACACTTAAGAGATTAAAAATAACAATTAGCCTCCAGGCAGAAGCAACTGCCCCAACTTGTTGAAAAACCAAACAAACTCTCACCACACCTGAGGATCATTGCCTGGGGGGCAATTCACATCAGAATTCTATCAGTCCACAGGCAGAAGTGGTCTCTGGAGTCTTTGAGTCTTTGCCTGATTTAATTAATTAGTCAGAAACAGCCTTTAATACTGTCTTGCACTAGAGATTTAGAGGTGTAGAGAATTTAGACAGCCAAAAAAGAGGAGACAAAGAAACAACACCCAAATTGAAGTTCTAGAGAATAATCCAGAAGAAGAAATAAAAGAAACAGAGATAAGAAATTTATCTGAAATAGAGTTCAGAGTAATGATAGTAAAGATGCTCAAGAGCATGAAAAAAGGTATAGTTAGTATAAAAAAGAACATTCTTAGATATAGAATGGCATTACACAAATAAAGAACACACTGGATGAAATACACAGCAGATTAGGGGAAGCTGAGCACAGACTCAGTGAATTAGAAGAAAAAGTTGAAAATATCACTCAATCAGAGAACCAAAAAGAAAAAAGCAATTAAAAAGCATGAGGACAGCCGAAACTGGTTTGGCTCAGTGGATAGAGCGTCGGCCTGCCGACTGAAAGGTCCCGGGTTCAATTCCGGTCAAGGGCATGTACATTGGATGCAGGCACATCCCCGGTAGGGGGTGTGCAGGAGGCAGCTGGTCGATGTTTCTCTCTCATCGATGTTTCTAACTCTCTATTCCTCTCTCTTCCTCTCTGTAAAAAAATCAATAAAATGTTTAAAAAAAAAAAAAAAAAGCATGAGGGCAGCTTAAGGTTGCTGTGGGACAATGTGCAATGTAATAATATTAGAAGAGTAGGTATGCCAGAAGAGATAGAGAGGAAGAAGGAAGAGAGAACATGTTTACAGAAATAATGGTAGAAAACTTCCCTACCCTGGTAAAGGAAAAAGTCACACAAGTTCAAGAGGTACAGAGAACCCTGAGGAAAGAAGAACCCAAACAGGCCCACACCCAGGCACATCATAATTTAAATACCAAAAATTAAAGACAAAGAAAGAATCTTAAAGGCAGCAAGAGAAAAGAAAACTGTTACCTACAAAGAAGATCTCATAAGGCTGACACCTGATTTCTCAACAGAAATGCTACAGGCCAGAAGGGAATGACATGAACTACCCAAGGTAATGGAAAGCAAGGATCTGAGACCAAGATTACTATATCCAGCAAGGCTATCATTCAAAATATTAATAGATGGTCAAATGAAGAACTTTCCAAGAAAAAAAAGAAAGAAAAAAAGGCTAAAGAGTGTATCACCACCAAGCCAGTATTACAAGAAATACTAAAGGAACTGCTCGAATTAGAAGAAGAAACAGGGAGAGAAACCTAGCCATACAGAATTAAAATGTTAATAAATAAGTACCTATCAATAATAACCCTAAATGTATATGGATTAAATGCTCCTATCAAAAGGTGTAGGATAGGAAAAACAGAGCTGCTTGAGACTAGGATCTTGGCCTCAGCACCACCCAGTCTGGTCTCAGATGAAAACCAGCACCCTGCAGCCACTGGGGACAGAGACCTGAGACCACAGCTGCAGACCCACCAACACCAAGAATCCAGACATCCAGGCCACAGATTTCTGTGAGCACAAAGCCCATCCCCCTCCCTGCAGGCTGTGGGCAGTGCCATAGGAACTGCTAGACCCACCCTTCGTGGCCTCAGTTATGCTGCAGGGAATTTGAGCCTGGGACTGCGCAGACAGTGGGAATCTGTTCCCCACAACCAATCAGGAAACCAAACCGCAGTGCCACTTGACTTCAATTCTGGGCAAGTGCACACAGAAGTCTGTTTTCTGTAGCGCAGGAGTGAACCTGCTGCCAACACAGTGCTACCGTGCAGCCCGGTCCCCCAAGCAGACTGGGGACCCTGATTCTCCATGTGAGAGGCAGCACTGAGCACCAGTGACTTGACTCTGTTTCTCATCACAAGCGCCTAAGATTCCGGATTCCCAGTGCATTCATACTAAGAGCCAGTGGCTCCAATTCTTGGTGCATGCACACATAGGGACCCTGATTCTCGGTGTGAGGTTGCACCAAGCAACAGACACTCTAATATTTAATTCTTAGTGCGGGTACAAGGGTACTCTGACTCCTGGCACATGCTAGGGGGCTCTGAATTTCAGCACACACAGCAGGGTCTCTGTTTCAGCGTAGCGCAAGTGGGGTCCTTGATTCTAGGTGTGTGCATGAGGCCACACTGAGTGCCAGGGTCTCTGATCCTGGGCTAGATCCCACCAACCCACAACAGCCTACCTGTCTGCAGGTGAAGATTTGGAATTCCGCGACTTCTTTACTTGGGCATACAAAGCATCCATCATATGTCCTTCTCTTGGGCTTTGGGGTCTGGCATTGAGAGCCAGGGAACCCTCATAAGAAGAAATTCCCCCATACATCAACTCATCATCACAGCCAAATGTCCGATGAAAATCTTGGATTTCAGCATAGTCACGTTCCCGAGCTTGTCGTTCTCTAAATTCTCGAGTTTTGGCTTGAATCCTGTAAAATGAGAACAAAATTAAAATAAGAAAAGCTATGTCTCCTCTAAGAACTGCATACAGAAACATTCATCAAAATATGTTGTAAAATACATTTTATTTCATGCAGTATATGACAATTTATGGTATAAACAGTGTTATATTAATTTCAGACTAATGTCATTGTTGCTCAAAAATAATAATGTCAGATAGCTTTTGTTAATGTGAGTACTGTATAGTTATGATGTACACCTTAATTTAAATTGTGCCTTATTAAGTAAATTTAAAAATCCACAAAGAACAGAAAGTTTTAGGCATCTAATTATATTTTCAACATGAACTTTGGTAAGGCAAGAAATGATTCTTAAAAAGTTACTGCCCCCCACACACAAACAAGAACCATCCTATATAATAAAAGGCTAATATGCAAAATGACTGAACAGCAGAACGACCAGTTGCTATGACATGCACTGACCACCAGGGGTCAGATGCTCAATGCAGGAGATGCCCCTGGTGGTCACTGTACATTTAGGTCTAGGCATATTATGTATATGTCTTACTCTTTCGCTTAGAATGTATTGAATTATTTCCTAAGATTTTATTAAGCTATTTGGTATAAAGTTCTCTTCAAGGAAGAAGATATTGATATAAGTTATTCTAAGTCAACCTTATTTAGCTAAATATAGGATTTTCATAATTTTTAATTATTTTTGCTACAAAAATATTTTTAATGATGTTTTATGGGGAAAATACAAATGTAAATATTTATTTAAAAGTGATCTCATTTAATAAAGCAATATTTTAGACTGAGTTTAATGTTTTATTGCAAAATTATTTACTTCTTTCATATTTGAAATAAACCACTGCTTGAATAAATGATACATAAATATATATTCAAAATAATATAGAAAATATATAAACATGAGATAAAGATAGTACATAAGAGAAAAAAGGAAATCACAGGAGAGAACCCTGCTATCTGAAGTCCGAATATGGAGACCACATAGAGACTGGTAGGAAGGGCAGAGTTACAAAAGGGCTGGCCAGGTACCCACAGACAACAAGTGAAGTTCTGGAGAGATATCTCATATGTGGAAGGGTGCGACTGAGAACTCTGGAATCTAATCACCAAGCTGAGATCCCTAGCAGAGCACCAAATCTGATTAGGGTACCCACATAACATGCAGCTTTGAAAAGCAGTGGAATGCTGTCTTTCAGGGAGTGGCAGCTGAAAGTCAGGCACCCTCTTGAAGGGCCAACACACAAAAATTCCCTGTGGAGCCACCCACCTTGTACTCTGGCAGAGGGAGTGTAAAGTGAACTGGAGCTGTGAGAGCTCCATAAGACAGCTCATAAGACAGACAATCCAAGTTTCCTGGACTGAGTCTTTGCCTCACACAGGGGAGGACATCTTTTCCACATCCTATTGGAAAACACTTTGCCCTGAGACTACTTAAGAGATTAAAAGCACCACAGGCATAGCTCAAAAACAAAACAAAACAAAACAAAAAAAACACAGCAACAAACTATGTAACCCTACAACTTAAAGAATTAGAGAGAGAACAAGAAAAGACCAGAGTCATTAGAAAGGGGGAAATAATAAAGATTAGAGCAGAAATAAATAACAAAGACAAAAAAAATCAATGAAACAAGAGCTGATTCTTTGAAAGGATAAACAAAATTAATGAACAGTTAGGCAGATTCATCAAGAAACAAAAAAAAAAAAAGAGAGAAACCAAATAAATAAAATCAGAAACATTGGAGAAGCAACCATGGACACCACAGAAATACAAAGGATTTTGAAAATACTATGAACAACTACATGCCAAAAAGCTGGACAATGTGGATGAAATCCAAAAATTCCTAGAAAAATACAATTTCCCAACACTGAATCAGAAAGAATAAAAAAAACTGAATAGGTCAATAACAACTAACAAAATAGAAGCAGTAATTAAAAACAAAAACAAAAGACTTCCCACCAAACAAAAGCCCAGGTCTGTACAGTTTCAAAGGGGAGTTTTTCCAAACATTCAAAGAAATAACACTTATACTCATCAAAGTATTTCAAAAAATCCAAGAGGAAGGAACACTTCCAAACTGTTTTTATGAGGCCAGTATTATCCTAATTCCAAAACCAGATAAAGACAGTACAAAGAAAGAGAATTACAGGCCAATATCCCTTATGAACAAAAGATGCCAAAATCCTCAACAAAATATTACCAAATCATATCCAGCAATATATTGAAAAAGATAATACACCATGATCAAGTGGAATTTCTCCCAGGAATACAAGGCTGGTACAATATTCACAAACCAATAAATGTGATACATCACATACTTGTAAAAAAATCTGAAAGGCAAAAATCACATGATCATATCAATAGACTTAGAAAAAGCATTCAACAAAATCCAACACCCATTTTTGATAAAAGCTATCAGCAAAGTGGCATCAGAGGGAGCAAGGTCATATATGACAAACCTACAGCCAACATTATATTCAATGGGGGAAAAAAACTATTTTCCTTAAGAACAGGAACAACGCAGATGTCCATTCTCAACACTCCTGTTCAACATAGTAGTGGGAGTGCTAGCCATAGCAATCAGAGAACAAGAATAAATAAAAGGCATCCAAATTGGAAAAGAAGAAATAAAAGTGTCATTATTCCCCCATGACATGATATTGTACATAGAAACCCCCAAAGACTCCATCAAAAAACTCCTAGGCTTAATAGAATTCAGCAACGTAGCAGGATACAAAATAAATACCCAGAAATCTATCGGGTTTTTTATACACCAATAATGAACTTACAGAAAGATAAACTTTAAAAAAGTCCCATTTACCATTGAACCAAAAAAATTAAAATACCTGGGAATAAACTTAAACAAGGAGGTAAAAGAACTATAGTCGGAAAACTACAGGATGTTGAAAAAAGAGATAGAAGAAGACATAAACAAATGGCGGAATAAACCATTGTTTATGGATTGATAGAATCAATATAATTAAGATGTCTATATAACCGAAAGCAATCTATAGATTCAATACATCCCGACTAAGATGCCAATGGAATATTTCTCAGACCTAGAACAAACTCTCCAAAAGTTCATGTGGAATTAAAAAAAAAAAAAAAAGATCCCAAATAGCAATATCAATCCTAAGACAGAAGAACAAAGTTGGAGGGATCACAATACCAGATATCAAGCTATATTACAAATCTACTGTTCTCAAAACTGCCAGGTATTGGCACCAGACAGACATATAGACCAATGGAAAAGAATAGAGAACCAATAAATCGATCCAAGCCAGTATGATCAATAAGTATTTGACAAAGGAGGCAAGAGCATACAATGGAGTCAAGATAGTCTCTTCAATAAATGGTGATGGGGAAATGGGACAGATACATGCAAAAAAATGAAACTAGGTTATAAAACTAAACTGAAAAATGGATAAAGAACTTAAACGTAAGATCGGAAGCCATAAAAATCTTAGAAGAAGCAACAGGCAGCAAAATATCAAACATATTTTGTAGCAATATCTTTACCAAAAAAGCTCATAGAACAATGGACATTAAAGGGCAAATAAACAAATGGGACTACATCAAAATAAAAAGCTTCTGCACAGCAAAAGAAACCATCAACAAAACAACTGAAAGCCCACTGCATGGGAGATCACAAGGGTATTCATACAACTTAACAAAGGAAGATAAACAACACAATAAAAAAATGGTCAAAGGACCTCAATAGATACTTTTTGAAAGATGTCATACAGAAGGCCAAGAGACATATGAAAACATGCTCAATTACTAATCATTTGAGAGATACAAATCAAAACAGCAATGAGGTACCATCTCATACCTGTCAGAATGGCTATCATCAACAAATCAACAATTGACAAGTGAGAGAGAGGATGCAGAGAAAAAAAGACCTTCTTGCACGGGTGGGAATGCAGACTGGGTGCAATCACTGTGGAGAACAGTATGGAGTTTCCTCAAAAAATTAAAAATGGAATTCCCATAAGACCCAGTAATCCCACTTCTGGGAATATATCCCAAGAAACCAGAAACACCAACCAGAAAGGATAAATGCACCCCTATGTTGATAGCAGCAAAATTTAAAATAGCTAAGATTTGGAAACAGCCTAAGTGCCCATCAGCACATGAGTGGATTAAAAAACTGGTACATCTACACAAGGGAATAGTATGCTGCTGTAAAAAAAAGGAACTCTTACCATTTTCAACAGCATGGATAGACCTGGAAAGCATTATGCTAAGTGAAATAAGCCAGTTGGAGAAAGATTAATATCACATGTTCTCACTCATTTGCAGAATATAATGAATAAAATAATTTGATGAACAAAAACAGAGCCAGAAGAAAAATAATTTAGAATACAATAGAAGTAATCCTGTTATTTGCAGATTTTTAATATTTCATACAACTTTTGTGATATCATACTATGTTACTACAGTTTTGGTAATATTGTGTCCTTAAAATCATTTTTTCTTGAAATATTAATATTTACTGCATGTAATATTATATTTAAAATCATTTTTTTCTTTAATAATTGGTGCTTATTGCATTTTACTTATATTTAAAATAGCTTTTCTTGAGATATTAAAAAAAGAAGGAAAAAAAGACTAAAGCTCCAGTTGATGTTGCTCAGTGGTTCAGCATTGACCTATGAAACATGTGGACATGATTTAATTTTTGGTTGGGGTATATACTCAGATTAGGGGTAGATCTCAGTGTGGGGTATGAGGGAGGCAACCAATCAATGATTCTCTCTCATATATTGATGCTTCTATCTCTCTTTTCCTTTCCCATTCTCTCTGAAACCCATAAAAATATGTTTAAAAAGAAAGGAAAACTACAGAATGATATTCCTGATGAATATGTTAAGGATATAAAAAATCCTTAACAAAATATGAGCAAATAGAATTTAGTAATATATAAAAAGAATTACAGCATGATCAAGTGATGCTTATGTAGGAGTGCAAGATTGATTCAATAGTCAAGAATCAATCAATA